GGAAACACCTGCACTCACACATCCTCACATTACTTCAGAGCAGGGCAGCTCATGCTCAGAGCATCAGTGCGAGTTTCTGTGGTAATCTCTGTTGGCAGCTTATAGTCCCTATTTTTTTTTTTTTTTACTGTTGGCTTTGTAACCCAGAATAAAAATATATAGTGCTGAAGGTTGAGACTATAAGGAAGAAAAATCCTGGATGATATTTGCAATTGCRGATCAAAATAAAATAACTTATAAAACCTTTTAGAGTCTAAGGAATTATTTTAAGACCTAAAAGACGTAAAAACTTTTTTTTTTGTCCAGCTTTGAATCTGAAATTGCTTTTTAGGGGGCAGAATGGAATATACTTTTTACCCATAATCAGTGCAACATAATAAAATCTACACCAGTGATTCCATCCTTTTTGTACCACTATAATTTTGTACCACTATAATTATTTCCATCAGAGAAGAAAAAAATTGTGTTAATTTCTAAGAAGTGAGAAAATACTGGCTCAAATACTGAATGTAAATATATTTCCAAAAAATTCAGTAGAAGGCAGAGTTATAGGGCAGAATAAAGCAGATAGCACAAAACAAACAGAAAAGGCCTGAAACCAGGAAAATGGACCCTGCCCTAGACACCCTCTCTTTCAGCGCCTCATTTTCACAGCCTTGGAGGTGCAGCCTGGAACTAGGCAGCAGAGCAGYGGTGCGAAAGCCCTCGATTCAGGTGAGCCGGGGAGCTGCGTTGTGGAAACGCGCTGTTCCCGTGCGAAACGAGGGGTTCCCACGTGACAAATGAGGACGGGGCGCTCTGCGTCCCACTGCGTGACTCACACGGGACACTCTCCCAGCAAGAGAATGATCCAACGGAGACTCGGGCGCATGAATGATTTACTCACAGAAACGCACACCTAGCGAATACCTCCCATGTACTAACAGCCGTACCTGGAAACCAATTCACGTCAATTCAGGCAGAGAAGAGACAATTTAGGTGGCTGGATAGTGGGCAGTGGCAGGAGAACGGCCAATTCACCGACATTCACAAACACAGTGTTTGAACTAGCGGAGAGGGAATGTGCTCAASGCCTTCGTCACACACCAGCGTGCAGCAAGGTCACATTGGCAGCCAGTGGCAACGGACTGTAAACCTCAGCTTTGAATTAACATTCCCAAGCTTGTATCACGCCCTCAAAAGGACTGCCCTGGGTTTTAGTATTTCCTGATGGTAGAGATTGAGAGCATAAACACAGATAACTGCATTTAAAAGCCCATTACTTTCTCTATTAGTATGCAGCTTTGGCACATGTTGAGACTGAACTTTCAAACTTACATGTTTTAGATTACGGGTTTTAGAAATAGATTTAAATCTTAAGTGTGATCATTTTGCCTGATTTACAAATCCCTAATTTGAGACAGCTCAGTGAAGAGAGGTTCATTACTAGTTATCAGTATAGTTTTCATTCACCTTTGGACTCATTGCAGATAAGCTCTGTAAAAGGAACATGTCTTAAGCCCAGCAAAAGAGATGCATGTAAAAATACTATTATAACAGTATAACTCTATATAGTATATAATTATATCCTATAGTTATATATATAGTTATATAGTATACTGTATTCAAACATTTCTCCACTTCTTTGATGAAGAACTGGAAATTAGCCATTTACTTTTGCAGGCTTTAAAAACACACTAGTTTCTCTCCCAGGAGTTTAAATGTGGATTTGAGGCCAGTTCTAACCTCTAAAATGCCACAAAAATTATACTAGTTCCAGCTAAAAAGAATTATTTCCTTCCATACTACTAAAGATAAATACCTATATAATATTAAATGCATCTTATTTATGCCAATTAAGCAGCTATATTTTTCAGAATCTTAAAGTTAGAATCTAAGATAATTCAATTTGTTTTCCTGAATSAAAGTCTGCCCTCAGTAATAACCTTGTTTTTGTCCAGTTTGAACACTTTGTAATACAACAATAACATATAAAGAGACTCTTCTTCCCGCCATTTACATTGTTTTAATAATATATAATAGTCAAATGTCTCACTGAATGCAGCTTTGTGGCCTTGGTTTCACTAACAATTTACCATAACAGCCTCAACAGATGACCCAGAGCCCAAAGCTGGCGTTTCTGCACATCTGCCACTACTCTCCTTGAAACTGCACTGAAGCTAAGAGGACTTCCTCACTTTTGGACTATTTTTGGGTATCAAGCTGTGATTTTGTTGACTAGTACCTTGTATTGCCTCTAACTTTTATCTGCTTTGCATYTCATGGAGATGTTGTTGGGCACAAGAGGCCTCAGCACTGACAACATCTACAACTTGGCATTGATTAGCACCAGCCTCCAACCCCGCGAACTCCTGGGTGTCTCCAYGTTTTCTGCGGACAGCTCTGAGAGATACCAGTATCCCTTAAAATTACTTTGGGAACCTGCATTTCATTAAACAGAAGGGTACAAAGTCCCAGCTTAATTATGCACCTAAGTGCCCAGTTTCCTCAATATACCACTTCTGCACATTTTGCCAGCATTTTCCATGTTGGTGCCACCAACACATGCACTGCAGGAATCAAACTTACCAACTTGCACATGTTCTGTCCCCTGCAAGCTCCTCGCGGGGCTGAACATGCGTCACAGTGCCTCTCCCCAGGGCCCAAAGCTGCTCCAATCACACCCCCCATTTTCCCATAGCTCCCAGGAGACCTGTAGGCCTCTCTCACCACCTTTCCTACAGCAAAAAGGATTGTGTCACAGCAAGCAGAGTTTGTGTGTCATGTAGGAAAGCAAAGAAGGGCTCAAAGCTGCATCTGGCAATAGGTCCAAATAACTCAACACCTAGAACAGGCTCTGTTGTGGAAAGAGCTCTCCTGGCGAGGCACTAAATGCAGTCAATCAGGGGACTTCACATGTATTTTAACTAGGCATCTACCAACAGGAAAATCACTGATACGAGTGACTCCTGCTCTGCATACTAGACCAGTTACCACATATAAAGCAAAGGCAGTTTGCCTGCAGAAGCCCAAGGCCCAGCTCCACAGAGCTCCTCCTTAGCTGCCTGGTACCCCAGGGGAGAGGGGATCATCTCTCGCTTTAAGTTTCAAGCCTCAGTCACTAACTGCTCCTTTGCATCCAAACCKCCTGTTGATCCAGTCCATCTGTTAACACGTAAAGCTTTATAGTAAGAGTGCTATTTTGAACCAAAGGAGCTGAAGTGCAAGTCTCAACACCTTTATAAGTGTGTATATATATATATATATGTAAAAAAAGATTTATCCCCAGCAGCCCTGCTTTTCTAAAGACATTCCACTCCATTTATGGTTATTCTGTTTTCTRCCCTGAAGCCAATCACTACTCAAATGAAGCAACAAACTTAATTTCARGACTCCACACCTTTAGTGTTAACCYTGTGGTGCATAATGCAACCACCTTACAAAACCCAGCACGGAAAACCCTCTCTGAGAAGTTAGAAAATGGAAATACGATCTGGTAGCTACTGCAAGTGAGAATCACCCTCAGTACCCCTTTATGTAAGCCAAACGCATTGAAGAGTTTGCTGTCTTCAGGGTAAATGGCCAAGCAGGCTGGGAGGTCACACTTACCTCTTATTCCTCCATTACCTCTACCATTTCCAGAGTGATTTCATAACACAATGCTTGAAACATCTACGCAAGATGCCTAAACAGCCACATCTGCAGGACTGCAGAACATCTGCGAGCCTTACAGAAACCTACTCTGCAGGGAAAGTCCTTTTGTGACCCCTCAAACAGTTTTCTCCTCCAAACTCACCTCCCCACAGAGATTACAAAAGGCAGACAAGAATATTCTAATCCTCAACTACTAAAATTACAGCAGTGTCACCGTACTGATATCAAAGTACGGCCAAAGACAATCAAGAGCTGCCACCTTCAGATGAGAGAGTTGATTTTTCCATACTATTTAGTAATACAAAGAATTTCATAAGGACACCTCCAGAGGGTTTAGCACTGCCCAGTTCGGTTTATTCCTAGGGGCACAGCAAGAATAAGAACACTGATTAATCTCAGAGCTTTTACCTGTGGAGAGCAGAAGTCACAAGCATGAGGCAGCAGGCCAAGGCCCTACAAGGACAGCACAGCACACAGGGCCTGCAAGGTAACACGGAGCACAGCAAAACTCCCTTCAACAGTTACAAAGCCCCCATAAACAGTAAAGGAGCTATCAAACTGGAAAAGAGATATTGGCTTTTTCATTCTTCCCCCTAAATAGCTAGCCTGGCTAATGCTGCAASTCTACACAGCACTATGAGAGCGTGGTTAAGCCTGGCATGAAGGCTAGCAAGGGACAAGATGTAGCTGTTTATTCAAACATTGTCCATTGCACCCTCTTTTCAAAGGGCAAGAAGACTCGGTGCTGAATTGCTGCCAGACTCCACAGGAAAGGCTTGGGCCCTGCTCTGCCATTAAGTAATTTCATTTCTGACTACAAAAAAGAACAGCAAATGCCATGAGGTCAGAGCAGTAACATTTCATTTCCCTATTGTACCAATATAAAGACAAGAGACTACACTGTAGGTAGAAAGGTCACGTCCTTGGTCTCCTTTCCTGTATTTCAGTCCAGTTTTTATATAAAAGATGCCTCCCCACACACACTTGAATAAATTGTACAGAAGAGACCTAAATTGTACAGGAGAGACCTAAAGGAAAATTGTGCTCTCTAGTGGATAACTGCATTTGTGCAGGAGTTTCAAGCCACACTGATCCACCCAACCAATGAGGTTTCAGTGCAAAGCATCCAGATTTTTATAATATGAGAAAAGTGAAAGGATATTTTAGCAGATTTATTATCATCTAGATAGGTTTACATGAGCCAGTTACATGACAGATCATAGGTTGAGAAAGTCTGCAGTTACACAAAGAGAATTACTGAATTCTCAAGACATGCTTTTATATTTGTTTAGATTTTAAGAATAACTTCTTTAATGCAAAGTATTTCCTTTAGTAAAGACTATTCAGAGCACTTAACTATGGTCCCAGGGAATACTGATAAAATTATTTTAGACCAGATATTTCTGCTTGGTTTATGGACTGAGAACAAGTTTTTTCCTAAAAAAAAGAGAATAAAGAYGGTTTAGTAACAAAATTCTCTGTGGAAGGAATCCTAAAGAGAAGAACTGATAAAATCACCCAATTGATTTTTAACTCATGCACAAAACACTAATTTTAAATTGACTGAACAGGTCTTTAGGAAGTAGTAACCCCAATGAGTCTGTTTTCCTACAGTACAAAGGAAGTGCAACCCATTTTCACCACAGCTGTCATACTAGTTAATGGTGCTCTGCTTTCAGGGCAGGCACAAACCAATGACCACATGAACCCAGTGGCAGATTAATTAACATTTATTTTTTAAAACAGCTTGGTCATTAGATGCTAGCTGTCTGCAGGAATTAACTAGTTTGGAGTTAACACCTTAAATAGCTTCTTGGCATAAGCCTGAGGTTAGCAGAGGAGCAGAATTATCAAAGATGATTTTAAGAGCTAGACATACAGCTAACTTGCATTAATTTAAAAGTGTATTTAAAATACAGTATGGTATTCCAAGGGTAAGGATCCAGCAAGACATAGAGATTAGATYTCTGTTTTATGTGGTTGCCAAATGTAATGACAACCTGTTGCTATTACAGAAATAACATTCCCTCTCTTCCTCTTTGGCCTTTAAAGAGGAAACATGGGTAGGGAGGGGGAAAAACACTTTTGGAAAAAACCTCTGTACTGGCTCTTATACTTCAAAATCACTCCATATATGCAGAAGAAACAACTTAATATTCAATAGAACAGGCTAGATTTATAAGTAACAAATATGATTTTGTTCTTTGGGTGATAAGTGATCTGTTGGATAGATTTTTTTTCGGAAGATAGATAATCAAAGGAAAGAAAAATTAATAGCTGATCTTATGCCTACAGCAAGAAGGGGACAGTGCCTCTGACTTGCAGCATTACCRTGATGTTTTGGCAGGAATTCAAATGCTTATTTAAGCTAGTCCTGTGACAGCAAGCACATTTCCTCTATTTTTAGATGGGATCATAATTTTGAGCTGGGTAATAATTTTCAGTGATTGGGTGATCTAGAGTAGTCATTACAGTCTTTTTAATAGAAAGTCCAATACGAGTAGAGTGATAAGTCTAGTACGGCTAAGTACTCACATACATAAAATGCYGGAACTCTGCAGGAGTTTGTTTAATGACCCCCTGCAAGTTTTCAGTGTTCTTTCAACTTCTGCCCTACACATGACTATATCCATTAAGCCATACATTTTATTAAACCATAGAATATAAAAACATACATAAGATTTTACTTAAAGAAAGCAGTCTTGAAATTACAGAGTCCCAAACACAAATGAGACCTCCCTAGAAGTCTTGTGTAGCTACTGTTAAAAGATAAGTAGAATGATCTTTAAGTTTAAAGCTTAGAAACATCCATGCAAAATTACTATGCAGCTGTGAATATTGTAGCTCCACTTCACATTAGCAAATAGATATTACAATAACAAATTTAATAACACATCAGCTACACCAGAGTGATGGAAGGGAAGCAGCCCAGTAATTAAAAGAAATACTGTATTTTGAGCCTCATTTTAAAAAGGGTTCATGTGCAAAACCTGGACTTTTAGTTGCAGAGGTTTTACAATAAGACAGCTGTGTTTCAGGAGCCCAATGAAGCTTCTAACTACACCATGTTAGAGTTAATTCCTATTAGAAAGTCATGAAGAAATATCAAAGGACAGCTCCATATACCAATGCATTAGACAGTAAGGCATTYAAAAAATAGCTCTAAAGATAAGGCTACGAGATCCTACTTAGATATTCAATTTAGCCTGTGTAGGAAGTGCCAACAGTGATACCTTGCAGTTAAATCACGTTCTATTTCTTGAGGGAAGAGTTTAAAGTCCAGGCAATTTGTACTTCCCACCCTACAAGATAAGCTGGGTTTTGAGGACACAGCTGGAAAGTCAGGAAGACCTCCAGTGAGACAACACAGGTGTTATTGAAATACCACCACATCAAACTATTTTTAAAAACAATTTRCAGCAACTTATTCAGAACTTCTTGAGCAAGGAAAGCCAAAGCTTGTACTGACCTACTTTTAATTCAAGTACTCCCTCTCTACTTCATAGGATGTTCTAGGTAATATGAAAGCACAGTCCAGGGGAGTTCTCATAAGGCAGAGGAAATTTAACCTTCTCAGTTTTCTACACCTGAACAGTTGCAGAAGTACCATTTGTGTAGCCACCTTTGGACTTCATGTGGTCCTGAATTGATACAGCCTAGAGAAGAAAAAAATGCAGACAGGCACCTTATAAAATCTTGTTGTCAAAGCAATTAAAGATATCAGCCTGAAGAAGCAGATGAACCATGTGCTCACAGCACTAGGTCCCAATAGTAGTGGTAAGAAATGAGCTAAACACTTTTTAAGTCTCATTCTAAACTGGTGCATGAAATGGCTGATACAATAACTTTATCTGCTATGAAGTGTTTCCACCAAATCTTTGTCTAGAAGTTCCTTGTCACACATAAAAATGCTGGGCAAGTCAGTGCCTCCATCAGATGCACAGCATCACAGACACAGAGCTCACAACACAAGTTATTCTCTTCTGACACTTTTCTAGTACAGGACTGGGAAAAGGAGGTGTTTTCCCCTCTAAGTGTTTATTATTTTAGCAGTTGCTTGTGATACAAGGACAAATCTCTGCTCAGTAACAAGTCATGCACACTTACAGATGAAAAGCCACTGTTCATCTCTCCTGCCCCAACATGCGCCGTGTGCACAAAGTTCATGGGCTCTCCTATCATATCCCGGTCCAGTCTCCGGCGCCTCTTCTGCAAGAAAGAAGGTATCCCTGTTTCTATCCAGGGAAGAGGAAGTTGCTTTCATCAGGCAGAAGCAAATAGCTCTGGCTAAAGAGACTAATCTCTGCTGGCCTGACTCATAGCAACAGGACTGAGCTTTCAGGCTGCTCACAGTAAGTATCTAACTCATTTTTATTAAAGCCTTAAAGATTGGAAAAGTCAGCTCTCACACAACATGCCTACGAGCTACAGACACTCACAGGGCAGTAATTTATGGTAAGACACACATGCTTTAAACATGGTGYAACAGGTCCCCCTGTAGCTTTTGCTTTCCTCAGTGCAAAGCAACAGGGCAAAGAATTTTATGCATAACAGAAAGAAATTAGAAATGTGATAACAGAGAACTGTGCATCTACCCACCGGCTGGGGTGGCTCGCCGTTGCACCAGCTAAAGCAGACCAGGAACTCGGTCATCGTGTTTCCCTGGGGATCACCCGGCCTGGCTAAGCACTGCTCTCAACTTGACAGCGGCACAAGGAGCAAGAGGAAACTCCTAGGGAGAGCTCAGCAAGGAGTTGCTGGTGTAGAGCCACAGGTGAAGATCACAGCAGGCACATCACAAGTACACCTGCAGAGATTGTTAGTCAAAGTACGCCAAAACACACTAAACAAGAGCATCGTGAGTTATTGAGCAATAAAAACTTCAACAATATTTAAACAAGATAGGAAGCTCTAAGCATATCAAAGTATATACACACACACAAAAAAAACAACTTTAGCCAACTTTTATTTTATACCACTCTTTATACCAACATCAGGGCTCTAGAGTACCTTTTCCTGCTGATACATACCTCAGGTCATCACAATAGTATTTCAACTTACAGGAAATACTTTTCTAAGAAAACTTACACATTAACAGAAGTTCTAGCCTTATAAATTCAGCCTTTCTGAAGCCACCCTGCAACCTTTACAAACAGCATGAGTTGCCTTATCACAAACATCTCTTATATCATCCCCAATTAGGTAATTAGCCCCCAGTTAGATAACTAGCCCCCAATTAGGCAATCAGCATGTTAAGCTCTTTCACCTTTGTAGCTTTCTTACACAGGTAGGTTGTATTTCTGCTCTACCATTTTTATTTCATAGCATTTACCTTATTCCCCCCACTTTATCTTTAGGTGCCGCCATGCTATGTTATTAATGCAGAAGGTGTCATCTGTCTGGGGTGGTTTTAGTACACCCTGTTACCTGCAAAACTTGCTCTTTTCACTGCATTTCATCCTCTTGCAGAGGCCTCTGCTCTGTGGCTGCCTCAGGGAAGGGCAGCAAGAAGGGGAGCAGTGGGTGCCTCAGCTCCCACCTGCCTTTCCCTTTAACTGCACCTCTCTGGTTTGTTTCATATCACARAGATAGTGCAGAAATGAAGATTTTCCTTAAAAGCAAGAAAATGTGTCACTGCAGAGGACCATCCCCCCGTGGCGTGCGGAGCTGCTGACACATGAAGCGAGTTTCCCAGTGCTGAACTAACCTGTGTGTTAGCTGTGGTGGGGGGCGCCTGCCCTGGGGGCTGGCGTGAGGCCAGGCTGGGGCGGCCACTCGGCTCCGCGGCGGCGGCTGCTGGGGCGCGATCCCGCGCGGCTCCCTGCGCCACGGCCTGTCCTGCAGCACGCTTGATGCCTCCCCACAGGTGCCGAGCACAAAAAGGCAGAGCCGGAGCCCAAAATAGCGCTGTAGCCTGGCGCGGAAGCGGTGCGGCAGCGCAGCCCGCGCAGCGCGGGCTCCGCTTGTGGCTCGCGTCCACGCGCCTGCGGCAGCGCTGCGGGTGGCACCAGCAGCTCTCTGGCCGCCTCGTCCTTCCCCCGCGTGGGTCACAGAAGCTTCCCCCAAAGCTGCCGTGGCTGCGGGCAGCCCCTTGCTCCCCTCCGAGGGGCTTGGGCTCACCACGTCGTGTCAGCTGCGTCTCGTGAGGCCAGGCTGGCGCAGGGCTAGTGAGAGCCCAGGGCAAGAGCGAGCGAGGAGGGAAAAACAACGTTTTGTCACTGCTGGCATGCAGGACAATGTGCTGTTGTTGCTGGCGGCTGTTTGTMCCCACACAAAGGGCCAGGGCAGCGGCTAGCACGCACTCCGCTCTGCCCGCGGGGCGCAGCGGCGCCCGGGAAGCACCGAGAGCTCTCGGAGGGTGTAGCTGAATGTGACGGAGCCCGACGTGCTGCCCGATGTCGGTGATCCTGTCGGTAACGTACAGACCTGCAGAGCCGCGTCCCTCCGTCGCAAGCGGCCGTGGGCTCTGCTCACGGCCACCCCTTGACCCTGGGCGATGAAGACAACGTGGATGAAGCTACTGTGTGTCACTGCCTCGAGGCAGCTCCTCGCTACCCCATCCTCACTGGCCTCGTGAGCCGGGGTCACTCCTGCCTCTCCTGGCTGTTGCATTTTSATTCCCCCAAATTTGGCCCTTTTGAGCTGATGTGAGGGAAACATGTTTTCAACCTTGTTGCTTCCCTCAAAAAATCGCTATACTGTACTTTAAATTTGCGGTTAACCGTTGCATGTTCACACTCGTGGAACACTGCAGCAGTTGCATGTTCCACTCTCCAAATCAAATATTAGCTTTGAAAACAACACCTGCACAGTACAGTAGAGGTTTCCCACCACTAAAATATTAAGAATTGCGACAAAACTACCAAAACTTTCCAAGAAACTCGGAGCTGACCAGCAGAAGCCTGCCATACAGCGAGCTCAAGAGCTCGGAGGCTACAGCCTGACTGCAGCGATGCCGCTACGCTACAAACTCCSTTTAGGTTGTAGTCCTCAAACCACCTCACACCATCAAGTGACCTGGCTGTACACGGGTCTTGTGGAGTCCTCGGCCTCACAGAAACCTGAAAACAGCCTTTTACGTGAGACCTCTGCTAATCTAGGTGTGCTGGTAGTGTTAAACTAGGGGATTTGGGTGCAGTCACAGGCATTTTGAAGCTTCTTTTAGAGGGTAGGCAGACATTTAAAAAAAAACAAACAAAAAAGCTCTGGGCAGCAAAGTGGAAACAAACAGTCACAAGTCTAAAAAAAGCTGCCACCTCCTCCCTCCCCCCAAAAATTACATGTTCTAATTAAATATTCTGCCTGCAAGATAAAAATAGCCACTGGAGAGATCAACTGGGCCCTCACTCAGGCCTCCCCTGCAGACAGTGAGCGGGAATCGAGAGGGGATGAGAATCAAGCGGGAGGCTGCCGAACATGGGTGCTGTGAATACACAGAACTGACAAATTATGGAGTTTAAGTTTTTTTAAATCTWAAAAATGTTTAAAATTTGCTGTGAGCACGAGTTTTACTTCCACACAACAGAGAAAGGCCTCAGCCGCTCCGTCGGGCCGGCGCGGCCCCCTCTGCCTCTCCCCGCTCCGGCGCGGCCCCGCGGGGCCTCCYCTCCTCGCGCGGAGGTGGCGGCGGCGCCGCTCCGGGCCGGGGCCGCGGGGCCCGCACGGGGCCTCCGCGCGGCGCCTCCTCACAGCGCCGCGGGTTCCCCCTCTCCCCCTCAGCGAGCGCCACGCTGTCATTGGCGCAGCCGCCCCGCCACCCTGGCGCCGTAGCCAATGGGCACCGCCGAGAGGCCAACACTCCAGCCTATCGGGAGCCGGGCCAGTGCTCCCAGCCCAATGGACGTCCGACGGCAGCAGGRCGCGCGCGCCATTGGCTGCGGCGTCGCGGCCGCCGCCCAATAGGCGCGCGGGAGCGCGAGGGAAGCCGCACGCGGCGGGCGGGCGCTTCCCTTTGCGGAGCGCTGTGGTGCGGCGCGGACCCGCTCGGCTGCTGCTGCTCGCCCGCCATGGCGCTGCCCGGCAGTTGACGTTGGGCTTCTCCCCTCTCTTCTCCCTCCTCCTCCCGGCTCCCGCCGCGGGCGGTCGGCACCGGCGGCGCCGGGTCCCCCCGCTCCCGTCAGGCACAGGCTGTAGCGGCCGGGCCGGGCGGCCGCCGCCCGCGCCATGAACATCATCATCGGCATCGGCGGGTGAGAGGCGCGGCGGGCGGGCGGGCGGGCGCGGGGCCTCCCGCAGTGCCGGGGGGCCGCACGCGACGCCCCCGTCTCGGCCGCTGTCGCCGCAGGGTGACGAACGGCGGCAAGACCACGCTCACCCGCAAGCTCACGCAGGCCCTGCCCAGCTGCAGCGTGGTGCACCAGGACGACTTCTTCAAGGTGAGCGCCCGCCAGACCCGCCGCGCTGCCGCCGAGCGGCCGCCCCGCCRAGCGGAGCGCGGGGGCCGCGGGCTCCGGGGAGCCGCGCTCACCCCGCTGCTCTCTGCTCGTTTCAGCCTCAGGATGAAATAGAAGTTGAAGATGGGTTTAAGCAGTATGACGGTAAGCTGTTGTCACAGAGCTATCAAACCTTAGCTCTCCACATCCTGACTATAATTTTTTTTCATAGTGATTCTAATATTAATACAAATACTTTTTGTACTGATTCAAATTCTTAATTACTGTTTACTGGTGGCTGTGTGTTGTGCCTTAGTGATTAGTGCACTGGACATGGAAGCAATGATGAGCACCATAAATGCTTGGATAAAAAACCCCGTCAAGTTTGAACGCTCTCATGGGATCAATAACACCCTGGATGCCCCAATCTCACAAGACAAAGAGGGAGGAGATGATACCATCCACATTCTTATTGTTGAAGGCTTCCTGCTTTACACCTACAGGTAAATACTGTATTTCATGGAAAAAAAAAAAMCATGAAATTCTATATGTTTATATTTTTTACATAGCTTAGATTAGCCTTCAAGGGAATAAAACATCCTGTTCTCAAGCAGTAGTTAGCATCAGATAGAGGCTAGTGGTGAGTTTGTGTCACAAGTCTGAGGATAACCTTAAGTATAGGAAACAGATGGAGCTTTTCTATTTCTTACTACTAATCAGCTACACTAGCTATAACCACTTAAAATACCTGCTCTTTTAGGCCACTGATCGATGTTTTCCACCACCGATACTTCCTTTCCATTCCCTATGAAGAATGTAAAAGGAGAAGAAGGTAAGTTCATCTTTAAAAAGCACCTCTGCTAAGCCAGTACTACCTTACTCAGTTCAAGACTTAGAGTTTTCTTTTAGAAGTCCTTCAAGATGAGAGGATAAACCCAGAGGTAGCTGCTGTGTTGAGTTGTAGCCTCCTTCACAGAACAAACCCCAAGGTGCTCTGCCACACTCTTGTGTACTTCAGACTAATGTTCAAATTCAGCAAAGCTCTTTGAACAGCTTTCTCACTTTGCCATGATAGTGACTTTTACATCTCCATCTATCCTGTGGTTTCAGACTTGGCTATATTGTTGCACACGTAGTGTTCTTGAATGCAAATGAAACAGGTTAAACTCAGAATAGTTAAGCTAGTTTGGCTAGTGAGTAGAGAAGCAGTGTGCTTTATGTACACTGTAATAAAAACTGCAATTAGGCTACTTACGTACGATGCTGTCTTAATGCAGTTCAAGAAACTACACTGTACCAGATCCACCTGGATTGTTTGATGGCCATGTCTGGCCTATGTATGTAAAGCACAGGAAGATAATGGAAGATCTTGGAGTTGATGTGGGTAAGTTTTTACTGACAATAGCACTGTTACGCAGCTGCTTTATGAGAGAGTGCTTTTCCAAACTGGCATAAACATTCTGGTCAAATGAGAGGGACTGAAGCTTGCCTTTTTTTTTTTTTTTTTTTAACATTCCTATTTCAAGTGCACTTGAATGGAACAAAGTCCAAGGAGGAACTGTTTAATGAGGTGTATGGACAGATTCAGAACAAGATTGAAGAACTACTTAACATGCAGGTACATGTTGATCCTTATCACTTCACCTCAAAGGTAGTGATTTAATTTTAAGTGAATACATAGCCCTTCTAAAGGCTGAGGTGAAAAGCATAAAGCTGTAACTTAGAAATGCTTATGTTTTTTGTTTAGAAATAAGCTGCTCTCGATTCTTGTGGTTGAAGAAGCTTCCTGTTTGCTCCAMGATGTGTACCTGACCACCGCTAAAGTTCCAGCTTCTGTGAAGACTCTTAACTCTTGTTCAATCTTCCCTTGAAACTCAGTTAAAGAAGGTCATAATTAAAGAACATTTCCCCTCCTCGCATGTTGTCTTAATTTGTGCTTGAGACTAGCATTACTTTTATGTGCAACTTAAGTCATCTTAGGAATGAAAGAACAAGACTGTTCAAACCACTTCACTGACATTTATTTAAATCCAGTGCACACTGATTACAACCGGACTACATCATTTAGTCAGGGATATGTGGAGTTACATAACACCACACATTTAAGTTGAATGATTGCGACACAAGATTTTAAGTAGTGTCCTCAAGCTTTAGGCAAGCTTACTTTTCTTCAAAGGCCCCTGCGCCTCTGAAAGCATGTTAAGGCAGTGATCTATGTAGAAGAACAGTGAGAAAAGAGCAAGGCTTAAGCCATCATTTTTTAAAAAAACCCACAAAAAAWCCGTTACCTCAAAAGGAGGCCCAGAGGGAAGATAGGTACTGATCCACTCAGCACCCAGTTGTTTTTCTTCAAATGGGGTGCCTCACATCTAGAGCCACCACTTACTTCAAGCCCAGGTGCATCATTTTCCTGAAAGGAGCTGGTCCTCCCCAGTAGCCCCTAGAAAAGCAGAAAGTTGCAGCTGGTTAGAGGTGCCCATAGTGCCAGGGCAGGGGCGGGCAGAAGGTTGTGTAGAACAATTTGTGCTTCAGGTCTGCTCTTGCGAAGGAGGCAGAGGCAGCCCTTGGGTTTAAGTCAGCCCCAATCTCACTCCTTCCCCAACCCCTTTCTATGTGGAGAGGCCCTAAGATCCTGAAGAAGCCCAGGACTAAGAGCATCCATGCAGTGTACCCTAAACTAGATCTACCAACTGCTGCTTTTCTAACAAGTTTCAAGCCAGAGCAGAGATCTGTATCTGGCTCTGCTCTCTATCAATGACCACAGCAGCTCTACCTGCCCAGACTTACTTGAGTAACCCATTCCAGTAGAGCAGAGGCATCACATCAGCTTTCATGTGGTACATGGTCACCCTCTCCTTGCCCTGGTCAATGGGAAACGTCTCCAGGGGCTGCGCGGCGTAGTCAAACTCTGCCAGAATGACCTTGTTGTAGCCGGTGACCAGCGGGCAGGAAGTATAGCCATCGTACTGCAATAAAGCAAAACCCATCTCATTCTAAGTAAAGTCCACAGGCTGAAATATTGCAGGCTACRTGATTAGCATGTATAGTTCAAAGCCAGTTTTTAGAAGGTTTCCACATCAGTATACCCCTAAAATGAGGGGAAGAAATGTGTATTAATACTAGCACGCTTGGGTAGGCTGCTAAGTCAGTGAAGCAAAATAGCCATAATATCAAAACACTGTCAAATGCAGCTTGTGCATTTGTTTAGCAGCACTGTCAGTATTAGTATTGATCTAGAACAGGAAGGGTTTGTCTCAATTACCAGGCATTCTTGTATCCAGCAGATTAGGTGACTAGTTAACTAGGAGTTGGTGTTGGATTTTAACAGCATATAAGCAGAATTTTGAATATAGTCATAACAACTAAGAGGATCACAACAGTATGGGCTGTAATGTTCAGGTTAGTATCCTCAGCAAAACTAAGTCAGAAGTTGTACATAAAAATGATAGAAATTATTCTTAGTCACTGGCAGAACAGCTGCTTCCACTTAGCTCCGCCTCAGCTGGTATGGTTCTGTACAGGGGAGGAAAGACAAACGCAGTGTAGATGTGTAAAATTTGCAATCTTTTCCTCAAAGAATGGAGTATAGTACTTAATCAACAGTTTTGCTCTGAATAAAAGTCACTTGTATTATTGAAAATTCCAGCCTTATCAGCCCTCCTTTATGGAAAAGGGTACATGTTTAAATTGGCAGAGAACTCCAAAATCAATACATTAGATTGATAGTATTATTAAAGACAGCATTAAGAAAGGGAGTTACGCCACTAAATGACCATTATGACGTACAATACTTAGCCAGTTCTTCAGCACCCACAGTCCTCAAACAAAGCCCCTTCTGTTTGCTTTACATTGCTTTAATTTCTTGCTTAGCAAGACTCTCCTCCCCATAGAGGAGAGAAAATACTCTAGCTAACTTTTTCTAAGAGAAGATCTCTAGGTACCTTTTTAGTTGGTAACTGGTTCTTCATTACCATGGAAATAGTTTTATCGAGCACTCCAGACTGGGCAGCTACACAAGAGATAAAAACAATCGAATTAAGGTTTGCTTCAAGCAAAATTATTGTAGTTATTGTCAGCACTAGAGCAAATAATAATAGCTGGGTGTGTTGCTAAGTCAACTGTAACTGTACTTTTATTTCAAAGATGCTTGTGAATTTTACAATCCCAGGTAAGAATCACATACGGAAAATTCCATATTGGAATAATCCTTTGGCTTTGTTTCCATCATGCAAAGGCTTAACAAAATCTGAGCTATATAGTTTTAGCAAGAGTTTTGCTATGCCAAAGTATGCTTGCTCAGTCTTCCAAAAAGCTGAGCACTCGAGTTTTCTTTGTTTGTTACATTTTTTACCACTGCAAGGGAAGCACTCCAGCCTCATTTGCTAGAAGAGCTCAATACCCCAGAACTCAATATACTTTGAGTGACAACAGTATCACAACAAACAGTCTATGGTCTTTCTGTATGCATGCACATGCATGTTTAGCCTTATGTTTTATATTGCTTTTTAGTTCTGGTACAACATGCTTGTAGTGCTTTTATACTGGATCCTGAGGCAACAAGTACAGAACATGTGATTCTTCAGAAGAGACTTATCAGCTAGCTGACATACACATGTGAGCTTCTAAGATACAGCAGAAAATTTGTAGTAAATAATGAAGGAACACAGGAATATTACATTCACTTTATGCAATTCTGCACACAGAGAAACTATAACTAGCTCAAATGTGAGTCATGCAGAAGAGCATTGTAACTGTGGGTTAACAGTGTCACTGTCCTGGCACCTCAGTAACTGTAAGCGGGTTCAGGAGACCTAAACCTTTTTGAAAGATGGAAAGAGTTGACATCTAGACCCCAGAGTAACAAACTAAATAATATTTCATCTGCCTGGTTTAAAAGCAGCATTCTGCCACTCCCACCTTTTACATTATACACCCCCTCACACACACACCACTTTACCTATAGCTGCTGCTGTTTTTGATGTTGGAAGGTTGGTGCAGTCTCCAATACCAAATACATTAGGATACTTCTTATGTTGTAGAGTTTGCGTATCTACATCTACCCAGCCAGCCTCATCCGAGACAGGGCTGTTGATGAGCACATCAGGTGGCCCCATTGGGGGAGTGACATGCAGTATTCCATACTAGACAGAAAATAAAGGTTCATGAAAATAAAAACCAACTGTTTATCAGAAAACAAATAGTACCTGTGCTGTCAAAAGGCAACAAGAACACTGTGAAGAGGTGTTTTTGTCTGGGTGTTTTTTTGCTTCTATCAGCATATAGAGTGGAAAAAATCGTTTTTCTCAGAATTGGCATTCACCCTTGCAGAATTCTTCATTAATATGAACCTTATCTTGAGATATTCCTCAGTTATATTCACAAGATACACAGAACTCTGTGTAGAGCTTATGAAATGTGCATATTTCTCTCTCTCTCTCTTTTCCACTTGAGTTCCTAGCTTTTGACTCTTCAGCTGAAATTAGAGACTGACATTTGCCAAGGAGGAAAATAACATCTATAATGGAGCAATATATATTGTTATTACAATGTGGTTGTTATGTTTCAGTATACATAAGGAAAAGAAATAGGATGAGATTGGAGGTCTGAAAACTCCTAACCTGATGAACTTCAGTGACTCCTGGTTTGTCCAAGTTCTCAAACACAGCTTCCTGCTTGTCTGCTCGAACTTCAATGAGGTTGCGCCTATAGTTAACAGTAATATTCCTCTCCTTTATTATTTCCAGCAATGCATCAGCATACTTCTTGACACCAAAAATGACGCCAAGTGAAGTATTGAACATTATGTTCGCTTTGGATCGTTTTCCTGTCTGCAAAGAAAGATAAGAAACATCAGATTAGCCTTTTCCTGACCAGAAGGTGAGGTAAGCTAGCAGAGCATCACGAACTGAGAACTGTGCCAAGCTACTGAAGAGCCAGTAAAGCTATTAGTGCACTTCAACTATGAAATAAAGCGTTAATAGCAGAACACTGGAAATGCAGGTGTTTCAGTTCATGTTAGAAGCTAGACAAGCTGATCTGCAGTGCAATAGAGGCAAGAAGTGCTTGTGAGAGGAGGTGTCTGCAACTGCCCAAGCGATCTTCCCACACGCAGGTAAGTGTTTGCTCAGAATCGCACTGCTCTCCACGACCTGCAGTTGTGCCCGTTCCTCAGATCGTTGCCCACAGAGAGCTCACAGCACCCAGGCACATACAGAGCGGGACACAAGTGTTCAGCAGCCCGGCAGGGACCGAGCACCACACAGGTCCAGCACAGCCCTTGGCAGACCAGTGTAAGGACAGGCAGCAGCAAAAGTTCTGCACTCACTACATGGAGTAACAAGGACAACTTAATGTCCCCACTGGGACTTGCATGCACCTCCTAAAGCATTAAGCTGTGCTGAGAACAATGCTGGCTCTGTGGCTCASAGGTAGTAGGGTAAACAGTTCATTCCTTATTGACCCTGAATGCTACAAGTTTCTCCCATATTAAATATGGGCTAAATATTTATGTACAATAGCTTTATTTAGTGTATGTAGATAATATAAATAATAATTCAGTCACTTTGATTTAAAATCTTGAGTCACATTTGTGTGATTGTCATTTATTTTAAATAAAGTATAAACTCTTCAAAATAAGTCTCTTTGCAGCTTTGGGAACAAGCATTGGCAGAGACAATAAAATACTTACTTTCCTCCAGTAGGCCTCTGATAAATACATGATTTTCTGAGGAGCCCCTGCACATTTCACTGGAGTGTTTGGAAAAGTGAAGATGGCATTTCCTTCCTTGAAATCTTGCAAGGCTCTCCACGTTTTCTCTACTGTGTGAACTGAATAATTGGAACCAATTTTAGGGTGATGAAAACCCTCAGGCAAGCCTTTGATCTAAGAAAAGAAAAATAAGGTT